CATCCGCACTGTTGCGAATAACGTGGTGGTCATTGTAACACAGTACACGTGTGGTGTGTAGGGATTGTCATTGTAACACAGTACATGTGTGGTGAGTCTGTGGTGTGTGGGGTTGTCATTGTAACACAGTACATGTGTGGTGAGTCTGTGGTGTGTAGGGTTGTCATTGTAACACAGTACACGTGTGGTGTCTAGGTGTAGGGTTGTCATTGTAACACAGTACACGTGTGGTGAGTCTATGTGTGTAGGGTTGTCATTGTAACACAGTACACGTGTGGTGTGTAGGGTTGTCATTGTAACACAGTACACGTGTGGTGAGTGTGGTGTGTAGGGTTGTCATTGTAACACAGTACACGTGTGGTGTGTAGGGTTGTCATTGTAACACAGTACACGTGTGGTGAGTCTGTGGTGTGTAGGGGTTGTCATTGTAACACAGTACACGTGTGTGAGTCTGTGGTGTGTAGGGGTCATTGTAACACAGTACACGTGTGGTGAGTCTGTGGTGTGTAGGGATCATTGTAACACAGTACACGTGGTGTGTGAGGGGGTCATTGTAACAGTACACGTGTGTGAGTCTGTGGTGTGTAGGGTCATTGTAACACAGTACACGTGTGTGAGTCTGTGGTGTGTGGGTTGTCATTGTAACACAGTACACGTGTGGTGAGTCTGTGGTGTGTGTGGTGTCATTGTAACACAGTACACGTGTGGTGTGTAGGGGGTCATGTAACACAGTACACGTGTGGTGTAGGTTATCATTGTAACACAGTACACGTGTGTGTGTAGGGGTCATGTAACACAGTACACGTGTGGTGAGTCTGTGGTGTGTAGGGTTGTCATTGTAACACAGTACACGTGTGGTGTCTGTGGTGTGTAGGGTGGTCATTGTAACACAGTACACGTGTGGTGAGTCTGTGGTGTGTAGGGTTGTCATTGTAACACAGTACACGTGTGGTGAGTCTGTGGTGTAGGGTTGTCATTGTAACACAGTACACGTGTGGTGTGTAGCGGTTGTCATTGTAACACAGTACACGTGTGGTGGGTCTATGGTGTGTGGTTGTCATTGTAACACAGTACACGTGTGGTGAGTCTGTGGTGTGTAGGGGGTCATTGTAACACAGTACACGTGTGGTGAGTCTGTGGTGTGTGGGGGTCATTGTAACACAGTACACGTGTGGTGAGTCTGTAGTGTGTGGGGTGGTCATTGTAACACAGTACACGTGTGGTGAGTCTGTGGTGTGTGTGGTTGTCACTGTAACACAGTACACGTGTGGTGAGTCTGTGGTGTGTGGGTTGTCATTGTAACACAGTACACGTGTGGTGAGTCTGTGGTGTGTGGGGTGGTCATTGTAACACAGTACACGTGTGGTGAGTCTGTGGTGTGTGTGGTTGTCATTGTAACACAGTACACGTGTGGTGAGTCTGTGGTGTGTGGTTGTCATTGTAACACAGTACACGTGTGGTGTGTAGGTGTTGTCATTGTAACACAGTACACGTGTGGTGAGTCTGTGGTGTGTGGGGTTGTCATTATAACACAGTACACGTGTGGTGTGTAGGGTTGTCATTGTAACACAGTACACGTGTGGTGAGTCTATGGTGTGTAAGGTTGTCATTGTAACACAGTACACGTGTGGTGAGTCTATGGTGTGTAAGGTTGTCATTGTAGCACAGTACACGTGTGGTGAATCTATGGTGTGTGGGGTTCCACCATGGATGGATCAGCACTGTTTCCCCAGCTCCCTTGTCCACGTGAACCCCTCCACTGACCCCAGACCCACAATTTAATAGGTTGGATATCCCTTTTCGTTGCTAGATGGCTTTCATTGTACATGCTAGTAGTCGGTTACTGTACAGAACTTGCATTTAGCTGCTGAGCTAAATGTGTTAGGGGTCAGTGCTAGGGTGCAGCTGCAAATCTTAGACGTTGACATGCGTCAGGGTCAAGCGAAATATAGAGTAACGTGTGATCATTACTGGTGGAAAATATCACTCTTATTGGCAATTTTACCGTGGTTTCGATATTTAAAACGTTTCAAAATATCGTTTAAAGGGGTGGCCGTGCAGTCGAATGTGTCTGCGTGTTGTTACTATGTCATGTCATTGTGTGCTGTAACGGAGAGCGTGGCAAAAGCGTGAAGAAACCCGATGTGTTTGGGAGAAACCCAGTGTGAATAGGAGAACCCTGGGGTGAATAGGATAAATCGATAACCCTGGGGTGAATAGGAGAAATCGAGAGCCCTGGGTTGAATAGGATAAATCGATAACCCTAGGGTGAATAGGATAAATCGATAACCCTAGGGTGAATAGGATAAATCTAGAACCCGAGGGTGAATAGGATACATCGATAACCATATGGTGAATAGGATAAATCGATAACCCGAGGGTGAATATGATAAATCGAGAACCCAGGGGTGAATAGGATAAATCGAAAGCCCTGGGGTGAATAGGATAAATCGATAACACTATGGTGAATAGGATAAATCTAAAACCCCAGTGTGAATAGGGTAAATCGATAACCCTGGGGTGAATAGGATCAATCGATAACCCTAGGGTTAATAGGAGAAATCGATAACCCTGGGGTGAATAGGATAAATCGAGAACCCTGGGGTGAATAGGATAAATCTAAAACCCCAGTGTGAATAGGGTAAATCGATAACCCTGGGGTGAATAGGATCAATCGAGAGCCCTGGGGTGAATAGAATAAATCGATAACCCTAGGGTGAATAGGATAAATCTAGAACCCTGGGGTGAGTAGGATAAATCGATAACCCTAGGGTGAATAGGATAAATCTAGAACCCGAGGGTGAATAGGATAAATCGATAACCTTAGGGTGAATAGGATACATCGAGAACACTATGGTGAATAGGATAAATCTAGAACCCGAGGGTGAATAGAATAAATCGAGAACCCTGGGGTGAATAGGATAAATCGATAACCCTGGGGTGAATAGGATAAATCGATAACCCTGGGGTGAATAGGATAAATCGATAACCCTGGGGTGAATAGGATAAATCTAGAACCCTGGGTGAATAGGATAAATCGAGAACCCTATGTTGAATAGGATAAATCGATAACCCTAGGGAATATGATACATCGAGAACACTATGGTGAATAGGATAAATCTAGAACCCCAGTGTGAATAGGATAAATCGATAACCCTGGGGTGAATAGGATCAATCGAGAGCCCTGGGGTGAATAGGATAAATCGATAACCCTGGGGTGAATAGGATAAATTGAGAACCCTGGGGTGAATAGGATAAACCGATAACCCTAGGGTGAATATGATAAATATATAACCCGAGGTGAGTAGGATAAATCGATAACCCTAGGGTGAATAGACTAAATCGATAACACTATGGTGAATAGACTAAATCGATAACACAAAAACGAAGGGGATATTCCGGATGGGGCCGCACAACGACACCCAAACGTACCCCCCCCCACGTCCCCAATTAAGCAGTCACTCCCCGAGCAAAGGTGGGCAAACGTTTAGCAACAACACGTGCCACGAACTTTAATGCGGTTATATCGAAAATAAGGACGCGATCACAATGGCACAATGTGTGTAACTCGTAACTCGCTCTGCGTTATAGCCGCGGCAACGTGAATTACAGAATTAAGCCCCAGACGGTGGTTCGGAGCACGCGTTCCCTTCACAATTTACTGCATCTTCCTCATTAGGCGACGATCGCTTTGCCACACAGTAGCAACGCAACTTTCCAGCGCACGGCGATAGTTAAATGTTACGAATTAATGTTTAAAGTTGTAAGAGAATGACTAAAAGTCTGCGTCCGGACCCCGACCCGCGCGGGTCTTTTCATCGTTGCCTAGTTTTTATCCGGGAAGCCTAGGCTAGGCCCCCGGCGGGAATATCGTCCCCGTGTACACGGGGCGCGCCTCGCCCATCCCCCGCCCACAGTCCTTGGACCGGCTACCCTCCGTCGCTAACGATTAGATGGGGTGCTGCGAGTCCGCCTGCGTGAAGCTAACACCCTTTAGTAGAAGGGCAGAAAAGAAAAGCAATATTTGACCGCCGCGGACCTATACGCTCGGCCTAGTTTTCCTGCGGGAGGCCTGGGATAGGCCCCCGGCGGGAGCCTGGTCCGCGGGCCGGGGTCGTGGGTCGCCCATCCCCCGCGCCCCGTGTGTCGTTTAACGCGGCGTCTTCTGCATTGGCGTGAGTAACAAACATCGTTCTCTTCACACTGCTACATTCGCGTTAAACGCTTCAGTTTACTTCAAGTTGCCTCTAACTTTAGCTCAAAGTGAACGCGGTTTCGTGGTTAAACTCGTGCCTTTTTAAATTAAACAATTTGAAGTCTGGGCTGATGAACTCACACTCCCAACTCCATAGGTGAAAGATCTGTTTAAATTAAAGCTAATTAACGTTTTCCAAAGACAGCTCCTTGACATTTGTGGTGTGCTTTGAGGAGTGGTTAACCACGACTTTAACACAAATTTGCCCAGGCATCCTCAGTGTAAGCAACACTCTCCTTACAAGGAGTATTGAGACCTCGTGGTTATATCAACGACATAGCGACGTTAAACTCGCGAAATGTTCCCTAGTTTGTTTATGTTGGCAATGTGTAATCGCAAATAAAATACAGCAATGTATGTACCGTAATAGTACGCCGACTGCCATTTCAAGCAATCGGTAAGAATTCGTGCTTAATTTAAAATGTAGGTCAAGCCTACAGAGGCATGGTGTGTTGTTTTGTGTGGGATGAGGCAGACTGTGTTTTTAACAAATAAATACATCAAACAAAGATTCAATAGCAATGGGCAGATGGTAATCCTGGCGAGGCTTGAGGTGCGTGCCATGGGTCCTGACGAAACCGCTTTGAATCTCATAAGGTTGACTATAAGAGGTCAACTTAAGACAAGATCACATCCATACAGTATTTCCTGTTTCAGCAGTTTAATGTCCTGGGAAGAGGTTGCTTTCCGTCAGAGGAATGTGGAATTTCCACTGCTGGTTAAGGGTTGTCGGTGGAAATTAGTGCTGTTTTGAGTGGTGAGATGGTTTGGTTGGATTCAGCAGGACCTCAATTTGCTAAATTCAGGTCAACAAAACGGGATCGATTGCTTTGAATGTTCACGGATACATTTTATATTCAGGACATGTCATGGTGAAATGTGGTCAAATAACCCCCAAGACCCACAACCGTGGATTTGCAAAAAGGCTGTACATGTACGATTCGTCGGTGAGTCTTAATCCGTTTAAGGGCTTCAGATGTTATAATCTTTGGTGTTTTAGGGAAAGTCACGTAGGTAAGGAAGCTTTTGTTGCCTCCGAAACGTCGTGATTTAATTGAGTTGTTTTCATTTATTTTATTGATTGTTTACCTACGTGACTTTACCGAAAAAAAACAGTATGAATCCTCGCAGTCACGAAAGCTTCAAATCTAGAATTAGCTTCAGATGTTGTTGAACAAGTTCTATTCTTAGGTTTTTTTCGGTAAAGTCACGTAGGTAAAAAAATTTTAATTAATAAAAGTTAAATGAAAATAAAATAAAAATCGCGACGTTTCGGAAGCAACACAAGCCTCCGTCTTCAGGTGGAACCGTCACAGCACGGATAGCTGTATCAAGTATTTTACTTTTATTAATTTTAATTTTTTACCTACGTGACTTTACCGAAAAAACCTAAGAATATGAATCCTTGCAGTCACGAAAGCTTAAAATCTAGAACAAGTTCTAGTTTAGTAGCTACAGCACAGTGTGTTAGTAAGGGAGGCATTGGAGAGTCGTGGTGACCGACCCACCAGACCACCTTCGAGTGGCTGGACAGGAGGGCTCCCACCACCTCCACCATGCTGACATATCTTAGTGTATAATGGCTTAATGTGATATTTTTAGGTGTTTCGGTAAAGTCACGTAGGTAAAAAAATCTAAATCTACTTGATACAGCTGTCGGGCTGTGACGGTTCCACCTGAAGACGGAAGCTTGTGTTGCCTCCGAAACGTCGTGATTTTTATTTTATTTTACTTTTATTAATTTTGATTTTTTTACCTACGTGACTTTACCGAAAAACCTAAGAATATGAATCCTTGCAGTCACGAAAGCTTCAAATCTAGGCTTAATGTGATTTCAGGATGATCTGTCGTGTCGTGATGGTGTTCAGGCTGCGGCTGGGTTGCGTGTGGCTCATTCGATAGGGCAGTGGGGCTGGCTTCCAGTTGTGGGTTTGAGTTCATGTCCTGGCCAGGGTCAACTCGGCCCCATCATCATCATCATCATTCCTTTGAGGTTGGTAAAATATCTACTATCTGGTGAGTGGTTAAGGCTTCAAGGAGAGACTAGTCTGCCACAGGAAAAGAGTAAATACTGAACTCTGACCAGTGCTCATGTTTTTTTGAGCTGATGTTTCTGTCGCAGATGTGAAATTGCCCCCACCCCCGTATTGTACGACTGGAATTGGGCAAACATCCCAAAAAGGATTCTTCACATTTGTTGTTGTTATTTTGAACCGAGATATCTCCATGCACACAAGGGGCTTTGGTGGGGGGGCAGACCTGTTTAGAATCCAGCATATGGTGGCGATGTTACCATGAGGAGTGCGGTGACCAATTCCTGTCTCCTTCGGGAATGATGTCCCATTCATTGCTTGTTGCTGGGGAAACACGCTGGGTGAGGACAAGGCATCAGCCACATTCAGCTCATTCGCTTTCCTCGCAGCTGATGCTCCTCTGGGCTCACACCCGACGCATGTGTTCACACCCGACTCGGGGAATAAAAGTGTTGGCCCGTCAGCTTTGTCGATAAAAAAACTGGGCCGGTTTTGATTTTATTTGTATCATCGGTAGAGTGTGTGGTCTATTGTAAATTTGTGTTTTTTTCCACGAGCTTCACGATTTTCTCACGTTTCGGTAAACTCGGAATTTATTTGGAATAAGCTGGGTGGCATAAAATGCAGCAATTATCTGCAAATCCCGAGACGTCCGCCAAGTAACGATCAGAAATGTGAATAATCTAGCCTCTGTGGCCAACAGGATTTGCAGATAATAAGATGACAGATAATGAGTAATATCCTATCATCATCATCATTACTACGATCTCTGTGGCAATACGCGTTGCGTGTATGGTTGGTACATAATCTGTCACGAGTGAGTAGCTTGCGTACGCTAATTGTGCAAGCCAGCCAGACACACACACACAAAGCCGGAAAGGTGTGAACGAGAGACGTGCATGGGATGTGTGGTGAGGGCGGCTGGTGGTGGTGGAGGGGAGGGTGCTGTGTGTAGAGCTGTTGGGGGAAGCTGGAATCCAGTCTCGATGGACGGGGGAAGGGGGCAGAGAAGGCAGGGAAGGAAAGACATTTTAATCTGTTGTTTAAGGCGGAAACATGCGTGGAAGAGGCTTCATGTGAATTCATGGAGGTGTAGCGGTTTGGGCGCTGCGTTTCAAACCAGGTCACCTTAATTCGATTCTCGCTCATGGCCAGCACCAGTGACGATTGTCTGAACCGGTCCCGGGCATCTCCTAGGTCGACTCGGTCTGAAATGAGTGCGGTGTGTAAACATCGCCACTAGGGAGACAAAGGTGGCGGTGGGTGATGTTCGTCACCCAGCCCTCGTGTGTCGTGTCGGTCTTCATAGGTGCTCGCTAACAGCGCTTGCCCCAAAAGGCTGCACGGGGGGGGGGCGATCTTGGTCTTTCTATTTGTGTGTTTGGAGCTATGGCGCAGCAATTCATGCAGCACCGTTCTATAAACGAGTTGGGTTGCTTGTGACGGCTACCATCAGTGATGAGTGATATTTGATCCAGTCCTAGACTCACCTTTCACAAGCCCACACTGACCATTGTGGTGAAGTATCGTCAACAACTTCCACGATTGCCACGGAGACCACGTCGGCCCATGGGGGGGTTTTGCGGTGCTACTTTGTTGACGAATCCCATTTTAAAATTTTATGTCTATCAGTTGGCAAGCGCGAACCGAAACAGACATGAGCCTGTTCGATTCCCGCTCACGGCCACCGTCCGTGACCAAATATCGAAACCCGTCCTGAGACTACTCCAGGTTGACTCGGCATGAAATAGCTACCTTTGTGCGCTGCGTGAAAATCTTATTGGTCATGGCCACGGCACTCCCCTGGTCTGGCCTTGCCTGTCACAGGAAGGGTTAACGATGGCACGCGTGTCGCGTGGTCTATGCGGCTATATGGGGGAGGATTTCTGTCGTGTTGTTGACGCGTGCGAGCGAGCGAGCACTGGTGCAATGTCTCCTGTTGGGTTCTTGGCCATGATGCACAACGCCAATGTGTGTAACCTTGCTGTCCGCCATCTCTATGTCATCACTGCTGGATAGTCGTTCCCGCTGCGGTGGTGCATGCGCATCAGCACTCGGGGAGACAAAGGTGTGCTGGTTCCATTAGCTCGCTCAAGCCACTGCTGTGCAGCCCTGTCTCCGTACACTTATTTGACCATACCTCACCGTGCGCAACAGGTGGTATAGGCTGCCGAGCTATGTTATAGGCAGCCGAGGGCAGTGCGGCAAAATCCATCGGTGTCCCTTGCTGTGCTTCCACGTCAACAGTGGCCTTCGCAGGGAATCGCGAAAAGCTGCTGTCAAAACAGCCGTCCTGCTGAACCACTGCCGTGTGTGCGTGTGTGTCAATGGTGACGGTGGTGGTGAGTTTCGATTTAAAGCTTTCGTGACTGCAGGGATTCACCTTCTTGGTTCTTTCGGTAAAGTCACGTAGAATGGAAATAATAAAATAATAAAAATAAAACGTAATAAATAATTCTCACGACGTTTCGGCCACAACGTAAGCAGCCGTCCTCAGGTGAAGACCAGGTCTGTCTCCCCGACAGACCTGGTCTTCACCTGAGAAATACAATTCTCACGACAGCGTCTTTCCGACAGACCTGTTCTTCACCTGAGGACGGCTGCTTGCGTTGTGGCCGAAACGTCGTGAGAATTATTTTATTATGTTTTATTTTTATTATTTTATTATTTACATTTTACGTGACTTTACCGAAAGAACCAAGAAGGTGGTGGTGAGGTTGATGCGGTTTGTAGACAGCTGTACGATCTCGATGGCACAGGTTTAATTCATCCTCGCTGCACATCTCATGGTTGGCCTGCACGTTCGTTTCGACCAGGGCTGTGCCTCCTAAACTCACTCAAGCCAGAAGTGCCTGTTTCGGTGGTGGTGGCCAATGACATCCGCTTT